CTCAGGTGCACCATATTCATCAGAGATAAGTTGAAATTTAGATATGTAGGGAGTTTCAGAGAAAATGTAACTCACAATTAGAAACTCATTACTTTCTGAACAAATCATTTTGAAATATAGAAAGCTTACGGGGTCTCTGATTTCCCAATCTGGAAATCGTTGCCGATCGCACAGATGGCGCAGGTAATAAACGTAACAAAACAGCTCGTTCTGCAGCTCAGGATAGTCAATTAGCGGGATCGGACAGTACTGATATAAGGCCTGCAAACCAGACTGGTTAATTCAGCAGCACTTCTAAAGTGTCGTCCAACAGTTGCTGACCTTTACATTAGAGGTGAGGCGATTGGAGAAGTCAGAAACGTGCACAGCAATTCGCTCAATTAGATGGCGCCTAAAACAGATAAATCAGCCGCAAAAACATTGCGATTTAAAATTTTTAAAACCCCACTGCGATTTAAAATTTTTAAAAACCCCACTCCCGTTTCTTTTTTTAAGGGCCCGAAATGTACTTTAATATTCTTTGTTTTAATTCGCAATCAGGGCGGAGGTGGTTTAGTGACAGGTGGCGCGCTTACCACTCGCGCGGTTCGATCCCGGGCCGACTCCCGCCCAGGCCAACCAAGCCTTCTACCCTCCGGGGACGGTAAATTGGTATGAGATTCGTCTGGGAGTACAAGGGCACAGACTCCTACATGGGCTGGTCCCGCGTCACTGTATAGGCCACATCGCATTCAATAAGCCACTACGATTCTGAATGGAAGTAGAATGCGTGCCGCATCCCACAAAGGGATTGATCAACGGCGAAGTCTTTATCCTTTCAATTCACAACCATCAACTGCACGCGACAAACTAAGTGTTGGCGATGCTCAAGACGATGAGTATGTGACAAGGAAATCGTAACTCGCCGCGCCGATGGGCGTCGCGTGCGACGTCGCGCCCACAAATGACGATGGTTTCTAGGTGGTAGATGGCGACAACAGGCAATGTATAACCAAAAATAGCAATAAATGTCTACGATGTAAATTCCGGTGCTCAATATACAGGTCTAACGCAAATTACGAAAACGCCGCGTCCATCGCCGCGCGCGACGGAACGGCAAGTTACGATTGTCTTGACCGTCCCCAGATGATGACGATGATGACCAAGATTAAGAAAAGGCTAGTATGCCCACCCATACAATTTCACGAGTAGTCTTGAAACTAGCCCAGCATGCTCTGTCGACAAGCTCTGCTCTGCCATAACAAAGTAAGGCAACGCCTGTGAAGCACGGATTGAATGGCTTGATCTCCCCTGAAGAGTATCAAGGCGGGCTATGTAACCCCTCTCCCAAGTACTACATTGAACAACCCCGAGTAGGCCAAGGACCGTAAAACATTCAACTTCGCTGGAGCAAAGCAATTCACCCTTGCAAAACCGAAACCTTTACATCAAACCAAAGCTCAGCTATCATCTTTCAATATGGGACGTTCTTGTCCACAAAGCACCCTCAAACTCTGCAACTTTTGAAGAGAAAAAAGGTTACCTCATTTGTGTGCTCCAAATGATTTCAGGATTATCGAACTCTCCTAAAAACACCTCGGCGTACTTGTCAGGCCCATACTCATCTAGGTAAAAGATCGCTGCAGCCGGTAGCAGTGGAGCAAGAATGGACTGTGATGTTCCTTCTAGTTGAGGCTAAAATAAACATTATAGAAAGTCCATGAAAAGGGGAAAGATGAGTAAAGGAAGTTATGAGCTCACCAATGCAGTTCGGAACGCCTGCTTCTTATGCGTATAATGTAAAAACCTAGCAATCGGTAGAACATTGGAGCCGTTATACATAAGAATAAAGAAGAATACACCGGATAAATACAATCGAGGAAGAAAGGGATTGTCCTGTAATTCAGTAAGATCCACTCCAAAGCACAGTGAGTGTAGAAATACTTCAGAACAGCATGAGTAACAAAAGTATACCTGCATGACTAAATGCACTAAAGTAGCCACCCGTTGCACAATACTTGGATCGTAGGTGAGCAATAATTGCACTACTTGATAGAGTAACTTTGGCTCCGTGAGACTTTTCTTCACCTGTGGCATGGGACGTACGACACTGTTGTTATCATCCCTGCAAAAATTCTTACAGAAGGATCTGCACATCAATTTCTTCCGAAACCAAGAGCTGTTTAGTGCGTACCTTGAAGGAAAGAATTCGCACATCTGAATCATTATATCAAGACATAACGCGCACAGCTCCGTGAAATTGTACAGCGGTGTGCCAACCTGAAGCAGATGTAATAAGAAAATTAACGTTTCCACCGCTTGTTTGGCATGCAGCGGATACTGCACTTCCTTTCAGTATCGCTATGGGATATTGAATGCTGTATGTCTTACTCTGTGAAAAGGCTAATGCCGTTTGAAC